ATTGTAATGCGCTTGGAGGCGAAGCTAAAGACACGGAGGTGGGAACAGTGGCTCAGGGCCGGAATGACAGCAGTGAGAGTGGAATCAGTCATCAGACAATTATCTATCTCTAGATGCTGCAGCGTGCCTGAGACACTCGCCAGCAGAGTCTGGAAGGCCTCAGAATGTTCCCAGGATATCTTGTTGTTGCAGAGACTCAGCAATCTTAGATGGGGGGCTGCAGGGCTCTGGGACAGGACAGTGATGTCTCTGTTAGAAAGTCCACAGAAAGAGAGATACAATGCATCCAGCTGAGGTGGCAGGCATCTGTAGACAGAAAAAAGAAAGGTATTTCTGCACAATGAGGATTGGACCAGGACAAGGAGTCCTGAGTTGGAGGTATCTACCTACGGCTCCAGAATAAACTGATTTGCACATATGTTGCAACAGCAGTTAACAATGTGGGCTTTGGAATCAGACTCTAAGAAAGTTACTTTTCCACTCTGAGATAAAGTTTTTTAAATCTTTAAAACATGCACAATAGGAATCATTATGCAGTGTTGTGGGAAAGATTAAGTGGAAAAAAATTTAATGCACTTAATACTTACAATGTCTTCAATGGTGGATTTAGTTTACTTATTTGGTGGGGAGGGAACTGGGAACGCAGTCCACTAAGGATTCCCTTTGACCAAAACCCAAACGACAAGTTCTCGATTCAGGGCCTATCGCTTGGGTAAAATACAGGAGCAAAATGATCTGACAGTATTAACTGTTCTGGCCAGACCATGATGAGGTGCATCAGTGCTACAGCATAAAACATTTCCCCATCTGAACGTCTCCCCTTCCTCCCTAAAAGGCTGTAAACTCCAAGGGGAGAAGGACTGTGTCTTTTTCACCAATGTATCTACAAACATATCATGGTGTCTGCACATGGTCAACTGACTGACCGAATGAATGAATGATCACAGCTTACTTTTCTAGTTTCTCTAGCCTAGCTAGTTTCATACTCCCAGGAGTGCCCATATTGAGGTGGAAGGAGGAATGGGTTACAAGGAGAGTAGGAATATCCAAGAATGGTTGCTCTCCTGTCTTAACAACGGGGTGGTTCAGGGAACCCAGGTCTTTCCCCAACTCCTCACCTGAGCAGTTCGTGAAGCGAATGCGTGCGGCAGGAAGACAAACGGATCTGCTGAAGGGTTTTCATCTGCCCAAGATGGGTGAGAAAAGTCCCAAAGCTTTTCCTCATACAAGATGTAAAAGGGATTTGAGACAAACTAAGGCTGTGGAGGTGGGTCATCTGAGCCAAAAGGGTGGTGACTTGACTCAGATAAATCTCATTCACTTTCAGGTGACCAATGCATCCCATATCCAGAAGCTGCAGGATGTGTTCGTGGGCAAGCCTTCCATCAATTTGCAAATCTCTGCAGCAGAGGTGCAAGGACCCAAAGCTCTGCTGTACTTTATTCCGAAGTAAAGAAAGAAATCGCCCTGTTCTCAAGGTACCATCTAGGGAAATGTCCACTAATAATTCCACAGGTTTCCTGGATGACTGAGGCTCAGAGTCCGAATTTACAAGTTCGAGGCACCGAACTCTGTTTTGGGCTTCTTCTAGTTTCATGATAGAGTGCTGAGAGTGAACACATGAACGAAAACAGAAAGGGAATGTGGGGCTGATCTCAGAGCGCGATAGATTCAATGAGATTGTG